TCAAAGTCTGACAAGTAATGTTTGGCAAAAGTTGCTTATTTAGTCCCCCTCATATAACCCCAGTCCCAGCATTTGGTCCTACGAAAACGGTGGTTATAGGGTTTTGGGGGGTGGGGAAATAGGATAGGCGGACAAGGAAATTTTGAGAAGTAAGTGCAAAGTGAAAAAATGTAGTTGAAGTTGTTTCCCGCAGCCGCTCGGAGTAAGTTGTTCCGCATGTAAATTGAAGGTGTGCACTGCGCTTCGCGCCGCAGACTATACTAACCTATCTCCAGAACGGTAAGTTGGACATCAGGTAAGATGAAGTAGACGACTTCCTAACCACCAGTTCTATTGTTCGGGAATTTCAAGAAACCTGCAATAGGATAATCGGATTTTGCCACAATACGTTAAACAATAATACAGATTGGGAAAATCTACGGATATAAATCACCAATTATAAATTAAAATGCATTTAGCAGTTATCAAAGATTAGTCCACTGCGTGTCCTACTTCCCCACCCTTATAACCCTATGACCACCGTTTTCGTAGGACAACATGCTGGGAGTAGGCGTTTATGAGGGGGACTACATAAGCTACCGTTGCCTAATGTTTGTTAAAGATAAACCACGGTGTGTTATTAGAGTCACGTCAGGCTTGCTGGTAAGGATTACATGCGATTACATATGAGAAGAGAAACCGCCTGCAATACAGGTTGCTTTGTGCCAAATTCAAGAAAAAGTAGGTTTAAGTTTAAGGTTAGGATTATGCACAGAGTTAGATTTGAATATGTTTTGTATGTTAGAGTTAAAGTTAATTCTAGGATTAGAATTTAGGGTAGACTTATGGTTAAGAATAGGACTACGTTTTAGCTTCATTTTAAAGCTAGTGTTAGGGTTAGGACACGAGAGTATTTACTTTTCCCTAAAGTACGCAGAGAGTCAAGTTTATTGCTGGAGCGGGGCATTTCGTTTTCCCGCATTGGGTTTTGGGGGTCATGGCCGAAATCATTACCGGTTTTCCGCTGCTGGTGAGCGATGCTAACGCCTTTCACGAACTGACCACTAGGTCTTATTTACCAGTTTAAAAAATGGAATTTGGAAAATTGGACCTTCGCCCGGAACATATTTCTCAAACTGCAGACTTTGAGGCAAATGTAACTGATACTTTATTTTGTCCTACTTAGCTGTGTTGCCCG